TGCTATGCTTGTCAAGTGGTTGGAAGTTCCGCTTCCTTTGCTTTAGCCGATCACGGCTTCAGAGCATTAACGAAGTGGACCTCAACTCCGACACATGGTTAGATCGAAGGATTTCGACACTCCTCCTTTGAATGCATCATGCCATTCGGCATGGAAATTCAACCAACAGAGTGCCGGTGTCTTAAGGAGTTCAAACAGTACTTGCAAATCATACGCCTATTAGTACTTGAAACGTTCCTCAACGCATGACAGTCGGGAAAGATGTGCAAGGCTCCTGGAATCTTAGAGCTAGAGGTTATCATTTCTAGCCCGCACATCTCCTCATGTGACAATCCCCTTGGACCGTCGGTCTGTGTTGCTACCTCTCTTCGGTTCCCAGAGCTAGCTGCGTAACCACCCTCGATGGCTGTGGAGGAGCTAGCACCGGACTGGGACTTGGTACAGGACATAAATCCAGTCCTGTACTCAACTGGTGGATCCGGAGGAATCGGTGGAGGTGGAGGTGGAGCTAAAGGAGTAGCATTTGAGCCTACCTGTACAGTAACTAGAGGAGGGGCTACTTCAAATCCCTCTTCTCTACCCAAACGCTTCCTAAGCCCTTCAGATTCCTTTTCAATTGCCCTCCTGACTGCCTCCTGCCTTCTGCCTCGTCTAAGTCGGGATTCATCATCCTCATCATTAACCATTCTAACACTGGGTTCAACATCAACATTCCTACGGCACACACCACTCAAACAGTACTTTCCTGATTCCCAGACAAACAGAACACTGAAGGTCAACAATAAAACCAGTACATAAAGATCAATGTTCAGGGGCTCACCCCCTTCTTCATCATCATTAACAGATTCACACTCCAATACCTGCTGCAAGATAATCATCACCATCAATGCCTTCGCAGCACGGTGCAAGGATGTCGGGTTCTGACTCGCCCTGGCTGTCACGGCTGCTACCTTGGAACTAACTACCTCCGGACCAAGCCCAATCAATCTGCTCAAATACTCATGCCTAGATCCAGGGAGTATTTTAGTAAAGATATCTGCAAGTTGAACATCCCCTGGGCAGTGCTCTACCCTGATTTCATTCCGATCAAGGAGATCCTTAACGAAGTTTGCTCGCACCCGTAGGTGTCGCGTTCTCTGCGACCCACCCCCTTCTGCTATCACTATAGCAGCAAGGTTATCGACCTGCAACCGTTTAACTTCCAACCTTCCACACAAATCATTAAGAAGCGCTTCGCAACTCTGAGCTAGCACTACTGCCTCACACCCTGCAATAAGCTCTGCTTCTGCCGTTGAAAGGGAAATCAACCCTTGTCTTTTCCCCTTCCACAACACAGCCCTGTTCCTGAATGTCACCAGGACACCGGTTACCGAGTTGCAGCCGTACGGAGCAAAGGATGCATCAGAGAAGACAGTCACGCCCTCATAGGCATTGGCAGTTGGAATCAATGACAACTTGTAATCACAAGTAGCACCCAAATATTCCAGTAGGCGCATACCAACTTTTCTCACCACCTTCGGTGCTCGCACCGTCCACGAACCCATCAACGCCACAGCGTAAGCCAGATCTGCTCTCGATCGCTGCGTGACCCACAACAGTTCCCCTGTTATCTTCTGAGCGTTCCGCAGCTCCTCTTGTGTATAGTTCTCGGCTTCAGGCATGTCCTTGAACCATTCCTTTGGCACAGGTGCCGCTCGGATCTTTGGTGCTATGGAATAGCACCTCAGCAGTTCTTGGATATATCCACTCTGGCATAACATGAATCCAGTGTTGCCTTGATCGTCTCGCCCCATATAAACATCCACTCCAAGGAACGTCACGGGCTGACCTTCCTCAGCCCGTTGCAGAGGAGTACACTTCCACTGCTCCCTTATCCAGCTGTAAGCCTTCTCAGCTTCAGACTGAGTACTCAACAGCATAATATCATCGACATAGATAATTGCGAACCCTACCACTTCGCCCGACTCGGTAGTGATCTTCCAGACATTTCCCTCGACTGCAGACTGAACAAACCGAGTCCTTCCTTTATCACCAATCCAAGATGAAGTCCTCAATTTATTGTCACGGAAATCACCCCACCATTTGGGACTCTGCCTCAATCCGTATACAGCGCGCTCAATGCGCCAAAGTTCTCCCTCTGCGGTAATCTGCATCTGCTCCAGAATACGCGGGGGACGTAGTAATATACGATTCTTAGCTCCCTCCGGTATAGGAGCCAACAGAAAAGCATTACATACATCAAGGACAAACGCCAAATACCCACGAGAAGAAGCCTCAATAAGCAATGCACGTAGCGCATCAGCCGGTATACCCCCGGCATATAAATCCAAATCCGATCCCCTTTCCTCAAAATTACCACAGCCAACAACCCGACACTTCCTTCTAAAGTAGTTGTCTCCAGAGCCTGGCTTGACTGTAAAGACTGTTTTGGCCGGTAACACTTGAGTTCCTGGAATTTGCGCTTCCTTCGCAGCCTCTGGTCCCTTTAGTCGGACTATGGCATTCATACCCTCCAACGCTGTAACTTCGGTGAGGGCTGCTTGCTTCCATTTTTCAAGGGACAGCCTAACTTCTGAGGGAGAAACGTTATGTACAACCTTCAATGGTGCCTTTAGCTCACTGAGCAAAGCCTCAACATTTGGAGTAAAAAAGGAATCATCAACCTTCTTAACCCCAAGATCACAAGCATCTTCATTCTTCCAATCCTGTACCCTAACGCCCTCAGCAAAGACGGCAATGGGGTTAGCTACCGGAACTCCTATTACCTGGCTTCCCTCACTTGACGTCCCACCTTCACATGACTGACCTGGAGAAGATTCTACGCCATCAACGACCCCCCCCACGACAAAAGCCCTACAGCTATACCCATGGACCCGTGATGCAGTGGATTCCTCCGGAAGATCGGTGATCTCAGCGGGACTAGAATGTTCTGGCTCTACGCCAACCACACCAGAAACTTGCTCTCCAGTGCCCAGGGCCTCATTTGACCCAACAACCTCCTCCTGAGCCTGATGCGACCCAGAAGAAACATGAGTCTCATACTGAGTCTCCTCCTCATCAAAAGCATCCCATATTGACTGTAACCTCATCATTTCCTCAGTGGTATTATTAAACGCAAACTTAGAGAAACTCACTGAGTATGGAACTTCATCCGAACCGCAAGGTGGATCATTCGAACTGTCTACAACCATTGGTATGACCCGTGATGCAGTGGATTCCTCTGGAAGATCGGGGTTGATCTCAGTGGGAGCTGGTGGTTCATGCTCGGTTCCTCCATCGAAGTCAACTGGCCCGTTGGGTCCCCAAAACAACTCGTGCCCTGGGTGAGGGTGCACCTCAAGATCCTCATTCATCCCTATTCCCTGAACTGGCGGGGGAGGTCGACTGAAATCCAGGGTCCTATTCTGAATCACCCAAGGAATCTGTCTTTGAGCACGATCAAAAAGCCTCACTTCCCCCGTCCTTAGGGCACAATTGGATGGTTCATCTGGCCTTACAGTTCCTTCAGGATGAACCCCAAACATGATTCGTCTAGCACTCACTTCTGGAATTCCAGCCTCTACAAGGTCCTCAAGATAGAGAAACTGCAGATCAACCGCCTCCTGAACCCCAATCTCAGCCAGCCTTCCAAGTTCACTAGCTACACCTCGCTCTTCAAGGTAAGCTGCTAGATCAACCTCCTCAAACACAGTAGGAGGTTCATCTCCTCTAGTTAAATCCCAACCAATAAGCGGCGTAACGCTGTCTGGTTGCTCATCAATGGTCAAATCTACTCGACCAGGGTCCCTACCTGAACCTTCCCCTCTGGGATCGGTCTGGTTATCACTCGAGGACCCTACGTCATTAGAAGACACAACACATACGCGTGCATCAAAGCCTTTCTCAAAGAAACCAAAGCCGAGGTTGCACAGCACCTCTTTCTTTTCAAACTCAATTTTACTTGCTCCCAGAGGAGTATATGCGGCCAAAAACCATCCAGGGTCACACCTGACACTGTGAACTTTCCTTGGATCAAACGAAACAGCCTTATCACCCAAACCCTGAACCGCCACTTTCTCCTCCTGATCTGAAGCAACTCGAAGCTCAAAACCACCTGGAACATACACAACAAAATTCTTGGTTCCCCACTCATTCCTGAAATCCCGATGAGGCTCAACCTCTGAAGCATTCATGAGCATGATGGACGACCATCTTGCATCTTCTCTACACTCACAGTGCCTCCTCAAATAGCCTGTGAAATAGCTAGCTGTCCAAGGACGCCGAGTCGTCAAAGAGGTTATCCCTCGTAGTCCTCCATGACAATAAGCTCCAAATACAAACCTTTCCCCAAGGTCAACCTTGCGTCCACCGCTCGCCGCTGCCTCACACTGTTGTAGCTTCCGCGCCACAATACTAAAGCCCTGTTGCGAGTAATCCTCCTCCTGAATCAACCTCCAAGAGATACCTTCCAACTCTTCACTTCCGAAATCCTCAAACTCAACCGTCTTGACCGAAGTTTTCCCCCTAACCCTTTTCAATGGAACCCCGGGTACCCCTTCAAGAAGATCCTCTGCCTCATCTTCCTCAGTCTCGAGTTCTTGTAGGGGAGGTGGTCTAGCCTGTTCTATAATCTCGGGATCAACCAACCCAACTCTGAACCCTTTCGAAGCCACAAGTGTTCCTTGGTCAGTAAGAAGCACATGACCTCCTGGTACCGTTAGGTGAGGGGCTAAGTACCTCGTCATAACCCACCTCCTCATAAGCTCCTTCGTAGAAGTCGGGGTTCTCTTAAGTTTGTGAAATACTTGTTGTCCAAACGCCGGGAGGGGTGGTTCTCCTCTTTCAACTCTATTGTGCGTTTCACAAGCGTAGCGGATCGCCAGTGGCCAAAACTGAGTAGGCACTCCTGTAGCACTCAGTAGCGTACGAGCCCGCGCCTTACTCCAGCCAATCGTCCTCTCCGCCAGCCCGTTGGCCTGTTTATCTGCTGGTAGAGGATGCTGCAGGGTGATCTTCTGGTCCGATAACCACCTCTTCAAAACATCCGACGTGAATTCAGTTCCCGGGTCGCAATGCAGATTCCTCACTGGAAACTGCTTCATAATCGTCAATATCATCTTCTGAATACCCGAGGTAACATCAATCCCCGTCTTCGACTTGAGGCCGATGAAAAAACGTAACACAGCCTGATCTGGTGGCACCCTCAACCCTTTAAGATACTCCTGAAGCTCCTCCTCATTTGTAGGAATCTTCTCATCCTTCCACGGTAAAGGATCCTCTGAATCGTCATGTAAAGCAAAGGCCCGCGCTCCAGCTTCTGACGACTCAAACAAATCTTCTATATCCTCAAGAACAGGGGAACCCAATCCTATCCCTTCATCAGGTAAGGAGGGTTCATATTCAGCAAGGTCCTCAAGTGGTTCCATAGGTTCAGCCTCGTTATCCTTTGAATCCGGCTCAAGACCTTCACCCTTTTCCCTTTTCAATACTTCCCTTGGTACCCTAAACGCACCCATCAAGCCATACTTAATTTGAGCTATTCCTGACACCGCTTCCTCGTCTTGGCCCTTTTCACTTGTAGTCATCGGACCGAAAAGGTCGATACTCAAGGAGTAGGAGGAAGGATGTTTAATTCTCCTATGTTGTATTCCCAGACCAGAACCCTGCACACAATGAAGACAATCCCTCCTGTAAGGGACATGCCCATGGGCTATATGGGCTTTCCAGCCCTCAACTTCAGCAGGAGAGAGATCACGCTCCGCTGCCCTTATTGCTCCAGCGGCATACTTCGCTCCAACTGAGATTCTTAACCCTTCCGAAATTCTCTCATCAAGAACCTCAAGACTCTCAACTGGAAGGGTCCCCGTTAATGCCTTCCCAATCATAGCCCTAAAACCAAGGGGCCAGTTTCCGGTAGACCCTTTACACCCGGACCCTCCTACAGGCTTCATTCCTGGGAGATCAAGATTAGTTCCGACAAACACATGAAAGGCATTCTCTTGTCCATCCGCATGAACGGGTACCTGACCCGCCTTGACACCTGCCCATCGCTCAAAATTGTGCCATGAATCAGTGTTCCAGAAACCCTTTCCGTTCATCTCCCTATCGTTTCCAGAACAGAACTCCTTTATCAGGGGTATCCCTCCACCCCTGAAAACTGAAGCGAGCGACCACAAAAACATATCCTGAACCAACAACAAGGTTTCCTTGAATACCCTTTCATCACCGACATCCGAACTCCAGAACCCTGAACCATGCTGTTGCTCCTCACCTCGGTCCTTAGTCGAAGATAGCCAGGTGCGTCTCGGCGCCGAGGAGGTTATACATGCAATTCTCCCCTCTATGGCTGCCCACAAGAGGACAGACCAAACCCCTTCGGGCTTGGTTAGATCCCAACCCTTGCCGCCCTTTCTTAAAAGATCAATCTGCACAACCTCACAACCGTTGGCCTTTCCCAGAACTCTTACAGGGTCCTGTGGAACATCTCGTCCACCACACAACTGAACAATCCACCGGTGAGATGCTAACAATGACCTCCTCGCGGCTCGGGGCAAGGGAAGCCTCTTAAGAAGCCCTTTTCCTTCTGCGCCTCCCTTCCTGGGTATTTCCTCAACTAACCTCAACTTCACTTCAAGTGGAACCTCTCTTAAATAGGGCTGCGAGAAAACTGCCATAAGGGCATCCCTTCTACTTCCAGTCTTTCCATACTGCCTAAGAGCAGTCGTTGGGTCAAGTGGCTTCTCAACCTCCGTCAATTTCCACTCCAAAGTGTGGACCTGTGTCTCAAGCTCCTTCAGCTTGCTCGCCTCTAACTCCTCAATCAACTGAAGTGCCTGAAACTCTTGAAGATAAGGACACGTGTTTTTAGCAACCCCTGTCTTCAAAACCCTAAGCCTAGGGTGAACAACCCTTAAACCTCGTCGCTTACTCCACGTGAGTGAGCATCCCAATGATTCCACAAGGGCTCCTAAAGGAAGGATTGTTTGTGGTGGGCCTGTTCCTTGGTCCTCCTTACTTGGGGGAGGCACAACAAGTGTGCCTCCACGGGTTCGATACCAATTCTGTCGACCATCCCCGGCCAGCGTCACAGACACCTGTTCTAGGCCTTGAAGATTTTCCCCATAAGGAATAACTGCATGAGTTGCTCCACTGTCCAACAAAACCCTGCTAATCTCACACCCCGATTCAAGTACCTGCTCCACAATACACGTTCGCGCTTCATAATTCTGTGCCATACTCCTCAACCCTTCTAGTTGCGCAGCAAGAGACTCTATAGTTACCGGAGTTCCCTGGGTAACTGAGTTGGCCTGCGGTACCGTGGTAACCCCTGAGCCTCCACTTGCCTTAGCAGGGGCAGGGCTGATCGGAACAGGCGGTCGAGTCTGGCTCGGTGTCTCACCAACAGCGGTTGGTACCGTCTGATGAAGTATAGCAGCAGCATCAGCAAGCATGGATTTCAGCATTGCATCCTTCCCAGATGCTGCCGGTGGTGGGGGAGGAACAGGAGGTTCAGAGGAACCTACAAGTTTGGGATTATTATTATTCTTCGGGCTTCCTTTAGGTTTGGCCTTTTCTTCGGTTCTTAGGCCTGCCCTACAATCCGATGATCTGTGTCCCTTGCCTCCGCACGTTTTACACCTGTTGGGACGCTCTGCAACCGGAATCTGGTTCCAATCATGCTCAAAGGTGCAATCACTCCCTTTCTTACAACCCTGGTTGTGGTAAAACGAACACCTGGGCCTCGAAGACACCTGTGCTTCCGCTCCTCCTACACTCTTAGGGTTGTGAGCCTTTGACTGGGCCTTTGAGGGTATCTTTGGTCCTCTTTGGGGTGACGGCGTGGCCTCCTGGGGTTCAACACCCCTAACCTTGGGATTGCCCTGACCTGCTTGGTCCTTCTGTTTGTCCCTGTCACCATCCTTTGCCGACCGGTGGTGTGCTGCTTCAAGTTCCCCTAACATCTGCGCATGCAACTGATCTACCTTTGCATCATCAGGCATCACGTCAATTTGTAGTGCTGCTCTCGTTAGATTAATCCTGAAGCTGATGTCGGGGTTCGCAGTTAAAACAGTCTTCGTCATCTTTTCCAACGCCTTGACCCTCAAAGAGCTGTCCGGCAGTGTACTGCCTAAATCCCGCATCCTTGCACACCAACGTTGCCACTTACGTAGCAAGGCAATCACCTCCTTAATAGTGGAGCCAACCTGAGGGTCCTGAATCTGCCTCAGTCCAATTTCTCGCTCTGATAAGCCTCCAGGTGCGTAGATAATATATAGGCGGCATACCAACTGGAAAAGTCCAGAAACTCTTGCCGCACTGAGTTCCTCCTTCACGTGTGTAGGTGCCGAGGCTATAATCATCGTCTCAATACGCCTAGACACTCTGGCCCATCGGGGGTCCTGAAGGGCCTCGCTGGGTACAGGTTTCAGACCAAGCCTTTCAATCGGGGACTTTCGTAGATACTGTGAATACCAAACCCCAGCCTCCTGAACAACCAGCTCCCACAAGTCACCTGAAGTGTCGCTTACATCAGCTAGGGCCGGCCTTGTGTTATGTAGCCAATCTGAGAACTCAAGACAGGCCTCATTGCTAGCCTCAGGAAGGTCTGGGAGCGACGTTACCCCTGGCTTTATCACTTCTGGCCTACTCGTAGCCTTGGGGCTTGCAGCCAGCTCTGACACAACGCCCTGCAGTTGGGCCATTCCTGTAAGGACTATGTTCAAAGGGTCTAGATTGGATCCTACAGGTTCCTGGCCTCCACAGCCTATAACGGTAGACGGATTAACATACTCACTGTTCCCTACATGAGCTGCTGGTGCCATACCTTCAAACCCTGGCGGAGCTAATTCCCCGGTGTCACGACGGGTGGTAGTCGGGCCGAAGTCCATCGCCGAAGCCACCGGTGGTGGAGGAGGAGGTGAGGGTGCCTTCCGGGCCTGTAAATCCAAAGGCCTGCTCGAAACTCCCTTAGCCTGACTCAGAATCGAACCTATTCCCCTTCCTAACCACCCAAGTCCAGGGATCCCACTCGAGCTCTCGGGTACCGAAGATAAGTCCCTAACTTCACCGGACATTCGGCTCCTAAGCTCCCGATTTTCGGACGCTAACAGCTCTATCTGCCTGCACATGCGCTCACTTTCAACATCATGTCTCATCATTAACTCCGACAACTGCCTCCGCACTTCAGCTTGTATATCACTTGAATGCGTAGATGGAGGACCCGCTGCAGAGGGTACCGCTGGAACCTGCGAAAACAGGTGCGGAGCTTCATTGTGAAGATCACGAAGACGTCCATACGTGACCGTATCGAATAGCGGTGTTTGCGGAATCTGACCCTCGGAAGGTGGCCTTCGTGGGTCGCCAGGACTCACAGACTGAGCTGACTGATACCCATCTCTGTCACTGGACATTCCCCTATCTTTAGGTGGTGGCGGCGGAGTTCCAAACGGGACTCCCTGACGGTTGCTAGCCCCTCCACCAGGAACATCAATGCCCCTTTGAGCCTCGACACCACCAGAAGGTCCAGACAAATATGCAGACGGCTGTCCCGCCGATACCTGCACACTCGGTGTACTCGAAGAAGTAGTCATTAAAAACCTCGCAGCTTCTTCACGAAGCTGACCCCCAGTCATCGCTGAAGGCCCTGTCGCAGCTCCCACCCTGTCATCAGGATGACCCTGCCCGCCGACAGTGCGAGAGGCTCTCAATACCTCACCATCCAAATCCAACTCCCTCACCGGGCCTTGGACTCCGTTCAGTAAAGGAGCCGTCCCCTGACCTGGAACATTCACGCCAGTGGTAGCACTTGGGCCGCTCATAACCTGCAATTCTTCATTCATAGTCACCAAATTTGGGTTTTCGAATTGGCCATCCAGTGCCATGCCTTGATGTCAATAATGCTCACGATGAGAGAGCGGGGGCGTACTGCATGGGCTTACACGGACGGAAGTCACTTTTCACCGCACAAGCGACAAACTCAACTGCTGTACTTGAGCTGTCTCAGCAACTTAATGCTGCTGTAGCTGTCCTAAGACGTGCTATGCTTGTCAAGTGGTTGGAAGCTCCGCTTCCTTTGCTTTAGCCGATCACGGCTTCAGAGCATTAACGAAGTGGACCTCAACTCCGACACATGGTTAGATCGAAGGATTTCGACAGGCTCCTATAACGGTAACTACCCACCTGAAAATGTCCGAGACTGTAAGTTGCGTCCTGGCCGGCGGGCTTTGGCCAACCACAGCAGCCTCCCCAACAAGCTATGCAGATCTATGCTGCCCCTTTGAACCTGCTTAAACTCAAACACGAAAAAAAGGCCGAAACAAACGAAATCCCCTAAACACCCTTCCCATGCCCGTCACTTGGGCCAGGAGACCAGCAAGTCGAGAGTGTTAAACAGCAAGGTCAGGCCGAAAACAGGACCTTGGCTGATGGCGTAAACTTGCATATTTCGACCCGAACGTGTGGCTACAAGAGCTTGAAGGTTGGGCTCGGAGCTTAGGATGTTTAGCATCAAAAGCTAAGCGAGTGAAGGTGCACAAACACTCGCTCTACAGCAGGGTTTAATGTAGGGGCCTTAATGATTAGAATAGTTTTTTTTAGTATGGTATAAGATATCCTCCAAACCTTATTCCAATTATTTGTTCTACGGTTCGGGGTTCACGACTTCCCGGCTCTGCAGTTCTGGCTTTGGGTTCCCTTCGGTATGACATCTTCCTCGTTGCCAGACCCCAGGATAAGAGAAGCAAGCAACAGGGTTTAGGTTTTTTTCCCTACCACATGGGGTTTCAGCACTTACACTCGGACAAGCGTAGGCGAGGTGTCAGGCTATGCGGTTTAGGGTTTAGGGGGGATACCTGAGGTTAAGGGCCATGATTGTCAAATCACTGCCTACTGCACAAACTCCAAAGCGCACAAGAATCAACCCACGCGAACCTTACAGGTTAGGAGGTTGCCATGGCTTGGGGGGCATCTCAAAATCGGCAAAGGTGGCTGATTCTAGCCTGCTAAAGTTATGTTTAGTTCCTTTTCCGTCCTTAAACCCTAAACCCTAAACCCTAAAGCCCTAAACCCTAAAGCTCTTAACCCCCTTAACAAAACCTCATAACTCCGCCCTCACCGTTCACTGCCCAGTGCCGGGCCACTGATCAGCTCGATCCACAGACAGTGCACGGCTGCCTTGATAGCCAAGGAATTGAAGATTTGCCTGGAAACGGGGTGCTTGAAGCTCGAGATTTGTCCTATTTGGGGCCTGGGGTGTGGCAAGGTGCAGGATTCGAGTTTCCGCGTTCAGGCCTAGTCTGCCTAGGCAGCCGTGGAAGATGCCTGGAAGAGTGATGCGCGGCACCCTAAACCCGAAACTCACGACACCCAACTTCCGGAGATTAGGGGACGGGTGCCTGTGCACACTCCTAGCCGATGCCAGAGCCATGAAGATGTCGATGTCGAGGATATTTGGCAGCAGAAGAGCCAAGGTCTCCTTTTTCAGGCTGGAGGTGGCTTCGGATGTTTCTAGTCAAGAACTTAAAGGCGTCATTCAAACTTTCAGCAAGAGTTGAAGAGAGAAGCTCTGAAGTTTGGGAACCTGGATGAGGCGATTTCCGGGCCATGGAAAGCGACTTTGGGGTCTCATCCCTAAACACTAATCCCTTAAACCAAACCCAAAACCCTAAAACCCTAAAGCCCTAAAAGTAAAGCCTAAACCCTAAGCCCCTAAACCCTAAACCCCTAAACTCCTAAACCCTAAAACCCTAAACCCCAAAACCCCTAAAAGTAAAGCCTAAACCCTATAAACCCCTAAACCCTAAACCCCTAAACCCTAAACCCTCTGGCAGCTTCGGAAGATCTGGGGCCCAGGCGACGTCAAAGACGCTGGCACTTCTGGCCTGCTTCTCCCGGGGCACCTCGAGTTTAGTATAAGGGTTAAGTTTAGGGGAGATAGGGGTTTAGGGGTTTAGGGTTTAAGAGTTTTGTTCCCTTTCGAATGGCTGGGGATCTATGCCCACAAGCGAGGTAGATCTGTAGAAATGACGGCGGTGACTGTACTAGATGCGATGTAGGTCCGCCTGTGAAGATACCTAGCCCTAATTTAGAGCCCAATGCAAACAACACAGACGCATGACCTCTACCGCATCATAGGCTCCATTACTTCAATCACCAAACTACGTAGCACCAATAGCAACCATATACAGGTATGGAAACCAAAGCAATGGAGACATGCTACGAACATCATCAGCGAAAGTTCGCACATCGACAGAAGTAGCAAGACTGTAACAGTGCCAACATGCCAGCAGTCAGCAAAATGCCGTGTGAATTATCAATTACAAACTACAAATTAACATGCATGCATGCCCAACTCACTCACTCATGCATTCAGCGTTTAGGGTTTAAGAGTTTTGTTCCCTCTCGAATGGCTGTGGGGATCTCTGCCCACTCAGCGAGGTTGAACACAGACATTGAAGGCACCTCGAGTTTAGTATAAGGGTTTTTAAAGATCAGGCGATAGGTTGTTTGGGTACATTACGGTGAAGTAGCACCGGGACTCCAAGGGGATGATGGTTGCTACAGTTCAAACCCCTATACTCTTAGGCCTGCAGGTTCTGCGCTCGCAGGGCCAGGATGGAGGTGTTAGTTACAAGGGTTTAGGGTTTAAGCTCCGAACACGTGGCCAAGAGTTTTGAAGGTCACCATAGATGATATGGCGCTGCTGGCAAGCTGCACGAAGAAACTTCGAGTGCCACGCGGGTATGTGACCTCGGTCGGTGACAGATGTCACGGAAGAGCGGACAGAATTCAGCCATACTGGCTCATCATGGCTAGATGCTCGTACTGTTGCTGCTAGCCGCATTCATGTACCCTGTTGGTGAGCGCGTCAAATATGTCGAGACTATGCATACACCAACCACTTCTGAAAAACACTGATATCTAGACTAGGCATGCGCGCATCAACAGAGACTAATCCAAAACCTCGCTCCTCCCTTGTGGGGTTTAGCGCCTCACATAGGTCGTTAGACACACACCCAACAACTCCACCTCAACCCGAAAGTAGAAGAACACCTAGGCTTGCAGTTCAATTGGAACATCCAGCGCTGTTGCAGTACAAAGCGCCGGTGTTGACATCGTACTTCCACTCGGGCCATCGGACGCGATCCTCCATATCGACTCAAGTCTTCGTTAGTGGGACAAAGCCCCGCTTCTCCCGAGTCTTAAAGCCCAGCCGCTCGAAGCCAAGCTTCGGGTTAAATCGTATCTTGAGATGTCCTGCACTTTCTTGCTAACGCTGCGGCAAGCTGCGCTACACTAGCTCCCACAGCGTGTTGCTACTTCTTGCCACTGGACTCAAGGCTAGCCAGAACTCCAAACCCCAAACCCTAACTGTCGGACCCGGGCGCCTGTCTAGCGCCCAAGCGGGTCTCTCGCATGTCGGGCTTGTAAGCACACTGCCTCAGCGGTCCCATCGGTGCAAGGCCGAATCTCCCGCGCGCAGTAAAGGTTTGGACATGCCCGATAAGCACAACTGAAGAAGTAATTACTCGACAACAGCATTCTCTAGAAGATCACCAAGCCCGTTCCATGGCCCTTTTCCTATGCCCTGTCCTCCCTAGACCCCAACCCAACCAAGTTTCGGTCACAGACCCAAGAGCCTAACCTCTGAGGGTCTGTCTGTGGTTCAAGACCCTCAGTCATGAGAGTAGCATAGGGTTTGGGCAGCGAGTGCTCGAAAGCTCATGGGATGAGCTAGCAATTTCGAGTTACGGAGTTACATGTTAATTGTTTATCACTGGTTTGGAGGCTTGCTCGTCCGTTCACCCTTAAGGAGCGCGGGTTAGTCAAGCACAGAACCTGACCTATTCTGTCTCTTGAGGTGCGATCGGAGGAGCATTGTCCGGCCGCCCAGTATCGCCCTCGAGCTCAGCGAGTGATGGCCAGGACTTTCTTGGATAGGCTTAGCCTCCGCACAAAATTGAGTGTCATGGCTCCATGAATTTAAACCTCCAAACACAGAGCCGTTTGTACGTCGTTTAGATTCAGGATTTAGCGTGCTCTGCCCTAACGCTTCAAGCAGCGCAACAACCTGTGTAGTATGCTTTTTGGGCCACAAGAGCTTAAAGATCAGGGATCGAGTTTCGGGCTGTTGAGAGCCTATGCGAGATTTTGAGATTTTGACCTTCAGGTGCAGGTCTGGTAGAGGATGAAGGGCTGCGGGGTTCGGGGCTGAGGGTGTGGTCCCACTGTTTCCAAGCAATCGGAGCTTGGGGCGCGGAGTCGTGAACCCCTGTTAGGTCTCGCCTTTGAGGCACCATTCTACCTCAAGCCGGTACACCTCTTCCGCGGTAAGTCCGGTGAGAAGACCTCAAAAGTTTGCAAAGACCGTGTCAAGACCAAACCGTCGTTTGTAGACCACTACCCAGGCTCCGACTGTAAACCCTTGGCTGCCATCCCTGAAGCCGGCAAAACCCCACATAGTTAGGGTGGTGTAGGGTTCAAAGCAGGGCAAAGGGTTTAGCACAGGGCTTAGGCTTAGTTCTTAGAGCATTCTCACTTTCAGCATGGGCTTGGATTGTGTGCCAGCGAACACTCCTACACCCAAAACCCCAAACCCCTACCTTCGTACCTAGGAAGGTGCCAAGGCACCAGAAGCAATCCCAGCATCGATGCTGCGGCTTCGGGGGCCATCCTTGCGTTAGGATTTGGGGCCCAAGGATGTAGTTCGGGGCTTTGGGGTTCACGAAATCTAAGGAACCCCCCTTAAGCTTCCGATAAAAAGTGTAGGAGCCGGAAAGTTTCGGAGTTTCCTGCATCGGGACTCGGATTTTAGGGTTCAGGCTGTCGCGGGTTCAGCACTATGGCTTCGTCAACAATGCAAGGATGATTCTGACATGTTGGCATGTCAATATGTCAGAACTCCTGGATTGCATCATAAGACTGATGCCCAATCTCACATAACCCTAAACCCTAAACCCCTACACCCCCCCCCCGACCCATCGTCGCAGTTTTCAGCCGCTCTCAGAATCGTCGAAGAGCGGGGCCAGACTGGCGCAGTCAAGCTGTGAGTCTGATCCTCCCCCGTATGCTTGCAGGTGGTATTACCCTCCCAGAGAGCCCAGTACCCCTGAACTAGCCGTAGACGTTAACCATACCCTAACCCTAACGCCCCCAGGTCTCTACTATAGCCTTATATAGTACAGTATCTACCTGGGGTTAGGGATAATTATCAAAGATACCTCTGTGCTTGAAGGCTTTGGGGGTATGGGGCTCTCTGGCTTCCTACTGCTAGAGGGACGTAGCCACAAAACGACAATCGTCTGTACCTTGAACGCGGCTTGTCACAGTGCTTGCGACTTGCGACAGCACTGGAGCATCAGTTTAATTCCCATGCCTCAACAGCCTCATTCTCGCGGCCCTGTACGATTTCGCCACCTTCTTCATCTTCCAGAGCGGATGTGCCATGAGGAAGGTGACCAGGCGCGTCGTGATGAGGAGCAGGGCCACCCCAACGCCGCAGGGGAAGAAAGCATAGCCGAGGCCTGGCCTGTTCCAGGTCCCCAGAGGACCCAGTACCCCCTTAATTAGGGAATATACCTCAAATTATAGGGGCCTTAATATTATGATTTAAGGTATTATATTCCTTAATTAAGGCATATTGGGTTCTCTGGGTCATCATCTATTTATGGGCCTCCAACAGCACCTGGACCTAAACAAAAAACCATAAGGTTGGGAAAATCCGTATGTTTGTCTTTGAATTAAATGAGCCAATAATAGTCAAAAGACTTTGCTTCATGAAGAGAGGGATCATGTGGTATTGTCGTTGTTTCAAACCATCCAGAGGTGCTTCCGTTGCTGTAGTTGTTGTTGCTGCTGCTGCTGTTGTTGCGGTTTGTTGCTGCTGTCGCTGCTGCTGCTGCCGCTGTTGTTGGTTGTTGCTACTGCTGCTTGTCGTTAGTATTGCTGCCTGCTCTTGTGGCAGTCTCTCGACTGGAGACTGCGGTGGACGTGGAGGATGTGGCGGTGTTCTGGTTGTCGTGGTGGTGGATGTAGTGGTACTGGTAGCGCCCGTCATGGTCAAACTGAAACATATAATACCAGGAGGGGCAATGGCAGGAAAAGGAGGAGCCGCTCTGGCATTGTGGTGGTTCTCGTTGTCGCTGTGCTGGTTGAGGTTGTTGCTGGTGGCTGTGGCTGCGACGGCGGGGTGCCGGTGGCGGTGGTGGCTGCTCTTCTTGCCAGTGACATGCTGCTGTGGCACATGTCGTGATCCTTGCTGCTTTGTTTCTACTCTAGGTGTCGTGAAGTGGAGCTGATAAGCATCGTTTTGGTGATGATAGTGCGCTGGCGCAAAATGAGAGCAACACCCCGGCCTGAGACCATGCGTGACGACTTTCTCCACGTAGATAGCACAGAAAGCACCTCCGCGCTTCGAGGGCGGCTTGTTGAAATCTAAACCCCAAGGACAAGGAGCACAGTACCGTAGCTTCGGCGAAGCTGGCCACCTGCTGGTGGGAAGTAGCCTGCACTGGGGTTCACGGTCATGGAAAAGGCTGCGGCAAACATGGCCACCACCCGCAGCATCACCGGAGTGTGGCCCAACAGATCCGATATCCCCACGGTGAAGAGGCAGGCACCTGAGCTCATAGGACTGTGTGTCGCTTGTGTGTACCTAGTATCTATCTGAAGAGCCCGAAACTTCCCTAACATCACAAACAACTCCTAACCCCCGAAACCCTAAAAACAAAAGGTCCAGGGTCCTACCAGCAAACCTTATGAGAATCGCAGGAAACCAAAAAAAAAAACAAGGCCCGTAGGTGCTTGGGTCAATACAGGCTTGCGGCACCTGCAACACCACTGCAGGCTCGCAGCCCACGAGACCACATTGTCCTCCACACTTTTGTTGAATGTATTGTCATGGCACTGACAGGCTTCTGTACATTTACATGTAGTGCATTTTTCGTAAGTATATATAAACCCTTTTGCAACAGGCTTTC